AGAGTATCCGTAAATCTTTACGAAGTGACTTGCGAAAGAGAAACCACAGAATAATTCTCGACACTATTGAGAAATACAAAGGCCCAAAAGTTTTTAGGAAACATCAAAGTCGAGGTAACAACTTAATGCATAAAATATCTATCGCTAACTATGGAATCACAACTGACAGAGACCATATCTTGGAAGAAACTGAGAGATTCTATGGTCAACTATATAGTAGCCAAACACCGAGATTCAACCACTGCAATGACCCCCGAGCTAAACTTACAAGGCATAGAACAGAAGACTTACCGGAAATAAGCATATACGAGATCAAAACAGCCCTTAAACAAATGAAAAACGCAAAATCACCTGGCGCAGATGGCATAGTGGCAGAGTACTTAAAACACGGCGGGAAACCAATGTTGAGACAACTTCAGACCCTCTTTAATAAGGCACTTTTCGGGGGCATTACACCTGATGCTTGGAAAAATGATATTGTGATCCTTATTCATAAGAAAGCCGACCACACAATGCTTGAAAATTTCCGACCTATATCCCTACTCAGCCACATTTACAAGGTATTTACAAAGGTCATCATTACACGATTGACTAATAAGTTGGACTCTATGCAACCAGTAGAACAGGCAGGTTTTCGCAAAGGTTTCTTTACTTGCGTCCACATTTTTACTGTAAGACAGGTACTGGAGAAATGCAACAAGTACAATATGCCTCTTTCATTGGCCGTTGTAGACTACGAAAAGGCCTTTGATACTGTAGAACATTGGGCGGTCTGGCAGTCGCTTCAAAGACAACTGGTCGATTCCAGATATGTGGAGGTTCTCAAGGAAATATATAACTCTGCCACGTTACAAATCAAATTACACGATATTTCAAAACCTATTCCAGTCAACCGAGGCGTGAGACAAGGAGACACGATATCGCCCAAGCTGTTTACGACTTGCCTAGAGGATATATTCAAGCTTCTCGATCGGAATGACAAGGGCATTAACATCAATGGCGAACGCCTCACGCCTCACAACGCCTCTGAGATTTGCAGACGACATCGTTTTATTCTCCGAAAATATCATGGACCTGCAGACAATGCTAAATGATTTATACACAGCTTCTCTCCGCGTCGGACTAAAGATGAACACCTCCAAAACAAAAATAATGACAAAAGAGACAGATCATATAGTTGTGAATGGTGGTAGAATAGACAACATAGGCCAATACACATATTTAGGCCAAACAATTTCTCTGGGGAAAAAAACACAGGTTCGCGAGATCCAACGTCGTATACAATTAGGATGGGCGGCGTTTGGCAAACTGAACGATGTTTTCAAGAGCAATATCCCAATAAACCTCAAACGCCGTGTCTATGAGCAATGTCTGCTTCCAGTCATGACTTATGGTGCCGAAACATGGACCATCACAAAGCAACATTTACACCAACTTCAAGTTGCGCAGCGGGACATGAAGCGGGCGATGTTGGGCATTTCTCGAAGAGACCGAATCAGAAATGAGGTCATTCGAAGAACAACAAAGTTACCTGACATCGCTTGTGTAATTTCCCGCAGCAAATGGAAATGGCCGGGACATGTCTGTAGACGCGAGGATGGCAGGTGGAGCAGAAAGGTAATGGAATGGAGGCCGGACGCAGAAACGTGGGGCGTCAACCAGCCCGGTGGACAGATGACATCATTAGGATAGCCTGAGCGAAATGGATGCAGTCTGCCCGAGATCGCAATAGATGGAGTGCAATGGAAGAGACCTTCACTCAGCAGTGGGTGGATAGTGGTTGAGGAAGAAGAAGAAGAAGAAGAAGATTCAATAAAAAGGAGTACCAAGATGGTTTACTAAATAGGACAAGTTTAGAGAGGATGAATGAAACTTAAATTATGAGACAGATATAGGTATTGTGTGAATGTGTTAATTACAAAACCTGGTGATTGATGGTTGTGAATGAAACGAACAAAAACAAAGTCTCTGCTTACCCTCATGGGAAAGAGGCGTATGTAATTGAGCGAGGATGTGTGTTATTGAATTGTAAGGAGAAATAATTAAACATTGTTCCAATTATAACATTATTTATTGTGATTCATAATCAAAATCAGAGTCCAAAAAATCCATTTCAAAAGATTCGTCGCTGTCACTATCATTTTCTCTTAAGTTTATAATAAAACTTTCCAGTTCTGTTTCAAGAATGTTATCTTTTTCAATGTAATTATTTTCAATTTTTACGACGTGTTCTATGCAATTTTTCCATTCTTCAACTGTGACACTTTCAAACGCATCCTTTATGATTTTTTCCATATTACCAGGAGTGACACCTATATTTTTACTTGCAACCCTTTTCTTCGCCAAACTCCATATCATTTCTACTGCGTTTATATCAACGCTTCATGTCCGTGATGTTTTAAAATTTCATCTACTTCGTATATTGGATCCGGTTTATTCTTTTTTACTAAGCAAAGTAGCTTCATCTTTCGTTAGAAAGTCTTCAAACGACACACCTTGAGATCTAAGCTAGTCTTGGATGTCAGTTTTTCGGGTTTGTGTGGTAGGCGCTTTATTTATTTGACATGTGTGGTAACTTGCATTATCCATGATAATAATACTGGGTTTTTCCAAATTGGGAATGAATTTTTCACACAACCATTTTTTTAAATTTACGGCATTCATGTCGTGATGGTAATCTGCCATCACGGACTTCGTACTATAGCTCAAAAGAGCATTAGGCACAAACCCTTCCATTGAGCGAGCATGGACAATAATATGTCTCTTCCCAGTTCATATTTTATCAACAAGACCACTTGTTGACTGACCTTGACTTTTTAGGTTTGTAGTTCTGATGTATATAGGTTTCATCAAGGTAGGCAATATGTTTATTTTCTTGCCTAGCTTGGCACATTTTTCTTAAATATCTATTACGCCAAGCTACAATTTCATATCTTTCTATGAGTGGTGATCGTTCATTGGAATTCTTTTTGAATTCAAAGCCATTTTCATGCAAAATTCTTCTTAAAGTCACCCTACTTCCAGTAAATCCAATTGCATCTCTTAACTCTGAAAGCAAATTCCTAATATTATTCCTATTTTATTTCTAATTGCACATATATCAAAGTTGTCTAGATTTGACAGTACTTGCATGGGGTCTTTTCTTTCCAGGCGTAGACCAAATATTGTTGTTCGATTGGCCTTCTTTTTTAATACGTATTATTGTTGCAAGACTAACATCTGAAAAAAAAAACACAATATTTAATACAATAATGAGTTATATTTACATATTTAGGTATTGAAACTAACCAATCACACATTCAAAATATATAGATACACAAGAAACAGTGGGTGGACGTTGCATGATTTTGGTTGGTGTTAAGATCAGGTAGAAAGTAAAAAGAAATCTTATTATCAAAACACAGATGTTCATTATAAAGTAATCAATTAGTAAGTAATTGTGTTGGGACCAAATAAAGACTTTTCTTTTTTTCTTTCTTTCAATATATGTGTGTATGTAGGTTGGTAGTTACATAAACCTAGGAAGAAAATTTCTTCTTCTCTAATAAATTGTTAAGGTATCTATTTAACTGTCATTGCTGATATTTGGTTCATGTACTTTGTTGCTGTAATCCGTTCTGAGTTGTGTATATCTTTAAGTTTTTTGACAGACTCTTTAATTTTGTTGACATCTATATTTTCGGTGTCTGAAAGAAATGCGAATATATTAGCATTGAATACTTTCATAGAAAACAAGATGTAGAATAAAAAAACAATATTACATCAATCAAGTCATACAAGACGAACTTACCAATGGCCGCCAAGATTGATAACAAATATTGTTCTTTCTCAATAAAAATCTTTTCACTGTCGTCATTTCTCACATCAAATTTATTAATCATATTAAGTATAAGCTTTCTAGCCTCACTCTTAATAGGAGTCTTCATATTAATGGCTTAAAATAATTTCGAAGCAAAAAAGCAAACACGTTTTATCGTAATGACAATCCATATACACTGACATTGACATCTACTTTGGTGTGACCATATGAAGAATGTTTAAAAATTGGCTGGCTCATGTTTCGTGTGCCAGACTCTAGGCCTTATTTGTATCAGGTACCTTATAATCACACATAAAGATAAAGTAAATTATGTATTTAAGCAAAATTGAAGATAAAGAAATGGTTAATTTAAAGTATGGTATTTCATTTAATTTGCCTCTTTACCTAACTTACTATGTTAGTCAAAATTAATGTGTCACAAGTCCACTGCAAAGTTGTAAACATTTCCACGTACCTACTCAAGTAAATATGATTGTCTTCCGTCACCCTAATAGGCAGCATTTTATCTAAATGTGTGATTTCATTGATTTTTTGTTAGAATCTTTTGTCATCCCACGTAAATAATTCATGATCATTAACACTTTAAGTATACATAATGATATTTACGTTTTTACTACAAGCCAAAGCATTGTAAGATTGTAGGGAAATAGCGCAATGTGAATGTCGTTACTATTTCATCAATGTTGTGTTGAGGTTCTTAATATTTTTGGTAAAGCTTTTTAAACGAATATGTTATTTTTATAATAAATCCTTGATTGAAGTAGATATTTTCACTGACTCATTGACATCATCATCATGATCAGCCTATTAATGTCCCCAAGGGGCCCACGCCTTCCTTATGGTTAAAATAGCAAAATTGAGGCATGACCCACCACGCATGCTCAGTGCGGATTGGTGGATGTGAACGACTGCAGATATAGCCGGGACCAAATGCTTAAAGTGCCTTCCGACGAAGCACAGAGGAACTCAAGATAATTAAGTTTTTGGTCACCCAACTAATGAGCGACCATTGCGAAAGTTACTTAACTTCAACGATCGCAGGCCCAACGGGCTAACCAACGGCGCCATGGATATCTTCAGCAGATACCTTAATAATTACAATCGTACCCCTACAATGTGGTACTGCACTTGTTTAGGCACAGCGATGGCTGCGAATATCACAAGAATGAGCGCAGTAAGTACTCCAGTGGCTGTTAAGACAGCAGCGGACCATGGCGCCAGTTGCCTGTTGCCAGTGCCAACCACCGCAGCCAGGACTAAAAAAATCTTAATTACACCTACAATATCGTTTTGCACTTGTTTAGCCACAGAGCTGGCTGCGAATATCACAAGAATGAGCGTAGTATGCCCTCCAGTGATTATTATGATAGCAGGGGACCATTGCACCGATTGCCAGCTGCCAGTACCAACCACTGTAGCTGACCACGCCAGGAGTAATAAAATCTTAATTACGCCTACAATATCGTACTGCACTTGTTTAGCCACAGAGCTAGCAGCAAATATCACGAGAATGAGCGCAGTAAGCACTCCAGTGGCTGTTAAGACAGCAGGGGACCATTGCACCGATTGCCAGCTGCCAGTGCCAACCACTGAAGCCGACCACGCCAGGACTAATAAAATCTTAATTACGCCTACAATATCGTTCTGCACTTGTTTAGCCACAGAGCTGGCTGCGAATATCACAAGAATGAGCGTAGTAAGCACTCCAGTGATTATTATGATAGCATGGGGCCATGGCGCCAGTTGCCAGCTGCCAGTACCAACCACTGCAGCTGACTACGCCAGGAGTAATAAAATCTTAATTACGCTTACAATATCGTACTGCACTTGTTTAGCCACAGAGCTAGCAGCAAATATCACGAGAATGAGCGCAGTAAGCACTCCAGTGGCTGTTAAGACAGCGGGGGACCATTGCACCGGTTGCCAACTGCCAGTGCCAACCATCGCGGCCAACCACGCCAAGAGGAATAAATTAACAAAATCTTGCTTACCCCTATGATATCGTACTGCACTTGTTTAGCCACAGCGCTGGCAGGGAATATCAGGAGAATGAGCGCAGTAAGCATTCCAATAGCTGTCAAGACAGCAGGGGGCCACGGCGCCAGTTGCCAGTGCCAACCACCGCGGTCAACGACGTCAGGAGAAATGAAATAAATTAACAAAATCTTTCTTACCCCTAAAATATCGTACTGCACTTGTTTAGCCACAGCGCTGGCAGCGCATATCACTAGGATGAGTGCAGTAAGGACTCCAGTAGCTGTTAAGACAGCAGGGGGCCACGGCGCCAGTTGCCAACTGCCAGTGCCAACAGTTGCGGCCCACCACGCCAGAACCGACGCCACTATGCACGCCGCCAAGCACCATACCCACACCCAAACCCTCTGCAAAGGATCCCCAGTTAGGAACTCCACGTCCTCCGTCAGAAGTTTCCAACCTGCACAAGACCAGCTTTCATATTAATTTAAACTTTTGAATATACTGCCACAAGACAAGTTACGTAAAACTGTGAGTTTCATATTGTTTTATCAAAGAATAATAATCTCCAGACAATTAACTAGGTACAATAATGTACGGTGGCGGTCAGAAAATGTTTACCAGTTTAGAAATTAGATTCTATGTCACACTTTTTTCAGTAAAGTCTAAAATGCCATATCAAGTAACTTATTACCTTTAAAAAGTTATTATGCAATATGACGCATCGAGAATAACAAAAAGGATAATTCATAACGAAATAAAATGACAAGTTTGACCCTGGAGCAAAGGGCTGAAATAATATTTCTCTTCGAATATTAGTGACAAGTATTAGTGATATATCATGAGAACTCAATATATCGCGATACACTGTGCGGTTTTGGATCCGGCGTCACGGCGAAGAAGGGCATTTAACAGATCATATAAATAATTCAGGACGAGACGCCCAATTCTAACCGCGGCGCAAATAACAGAAATGATTCGTCGTTATGAAGAGAACGGTTTCACACCAACTATTTATTTTGTTGCTTTATATGAAGTGAGTGCTCGGACGATTTGACGAGCTTTGCACAGTGCTGGGCAACATTACAGACACCATGCTATTAAAGTGGAGCTGAAACCTCACCACAAAACAGCCCGGCTGAACTTTGCGCGACAACATCATGATTTTGCTTGTTTGAATACTATATTTACCGATAATAAAACCATTAAATCAAGCCAAATCGGAAGATTAACTTTATGGCGCTATAATCGAAGTCGGTATGATGAAGCTCATATCGTGCCGCAAAACGAGTCAGTTCGCATAACAGTAAACTTATGGGGGTGGATGAGCCTCGACAGCGTCGGAGAACTGGCGTCGTTAGAAAATAGGGCTACTGCCATTAATTATGTGTCGCTTTTGGCAGAAGTAATACAGCCTACTGTGCGCGTAGTGTATCCTACAACAGAATTCCTGCCCATTACTTACGTTCAAGATAATGCACGGATACACACGGCCCGTGCTACTATGGCGTGGTTCAACCTGCACCGTGACATTCGACCCATTCAATGGCCCGCTCGGTCTGCTGATTTAAACCCTACTGAAAATTTATGGGGGCTTATGGTTCAATGCTGGGTCTGTCAAAATGAAAGGAACCCTCATGATCTTAGATCACACTGTGCTTGAGTATGGGATGATATTAGAGGGACCGATCTATGCGCGCATGCTGTTGCATCAATGCGAGATAGACTACGTGCCGTCATAGCGGCAGCGGGAGGTTATACTAAATAATGAATAAAGATTTTTGAAGTTTCTATTTTATTATTTCTTCATATTCTTAGTTAAATAACTGAAATATTAGTTTTTTCAATGGTTTTCTATATTTGTTTGACATCACGGCCAGTGCAGAGGTCGTCGCCTACTGCGCAACGGGTCGCGGGTTCGATTCCCGTACGGCACAGATATTTTGTATGGCCTACAGAAATTTGTCCTGGTCTGGACGTATGTGCAATGTGCATGTGCATGAGATTTTTTGTAATTACACTCACGATACAGAAGAAAATCCTAGTGTGAGACGAAGTATTTAAAAAATATATATATGAAACTTTGATAGTAGTAGGTCCATCTGGTAGCTAGAGTGATTGATTGTCATATCATTACAAAAAAAGATAATCTATGGTCCATCAAATTATCATGAAATAGACATTTAGAACTTGTGACCTAAATGTGTGCATGTAATTATGATTCTTAAGATGGTAAACATTTTCTGACCGCGACCGTACTACCTACCAAGTTAATATTAAATTAATTTTAAACAAAGAAAATTACGTACAGATTACATTATTTAAGTAAGTATGTAATAAACCATGATCATGTTATAAGTATTCATTCCCCTGTCGGGATTCAAACCCACCGAGGGCCTGGGTACATGAGAGACCCTTAGAAGTCTTAGGAGAGACAGTAATGTTTTAAAAGAAGTATATATTATGAGTTATTATTTTTTTCAAAAAAAAAATCTGCGAAACTTGGTAAGTACGCTTCAATATTCATTTATGTATTTAAAAAAATCATGTGACAATGGCATGTAGACAATAAAACGCATCTGCAGTGCCTTAAAACGGCCAATAAGTAGTAGCCATGACCACAAATTTGTACGACAAGATTTTTATGTGTCATAAAACTGATCTAAAATCTCAAACAACTCCAACCAAGATACCTTGTTGATAGTAAATTCTGTATTTTACGGGAACGATAAACTCACTAATATAACCAATTAAAAATCAATTAATCTAAAACGAAGCAGTCAAATGACGTCTATAACTAACATACGTACTCTATAATCACACTAATATTATACAGGCGAGTGAGTGTGTGAGTGTATATGTTTGTTACTTCTTCACGTTTAAACGGCTGGAGCGATTTTAATAAAATTTGGTATAGAGTTAGCTGACACCCTGGATTAACACATAGGCTTACATAAACGGCGGGTAACATCGCGGGGCACAGCTAGTATTATATAAAATGAAAGAACCTTTAAAGCATAACACAGAATAGAAAAGGAAGATAATCTCTTTCTGTGTGTATTTTATGGAGCAGAAATAGCAGTGCTGCCAGTACCACACCACCCATCAATGAAGCTGAATACGCTACCTCATGAAACTGACAATCTTATTCCCGCAACAGCTTGCCTAGCTTTTTAAATAGAACTTTGTATGCTTCTTTTCCATTTGCCCGAAGCCCTAAGCACGACGGGAACGAAGAGCAAGGAATTTTGTATCATTCATGTCGTTGAGCCGCTGTCTGTGTATTTTAATGCTTCTCTACCTACATACCTCTACATTTTTTTAAATCCTTCCCCAGCCTTTTTAGCGAACCTTGTGGCCCGAGCTTTATCTAGAGTAAGTACCCTAAATAACGACAAATTATAATGTTCATGGTTTAGGTTACCGTAAATGCAGATGAAGACGAGTACTTCAAGCACGGTGGCAACGCACACGATCAGTGGCACAGCCAGGGCTTCTAATATAGCGAGCGCGTGCCATCGACCCGCGAGGACTGCTACGGATGCGCTCGCACAGACTATGGCGCTGACGGCAACAGCGATGCGCCAGCGAACCCCGCCCACGCGACGTACCCGGTCATACATCGGGTACAGCCGCGTCAACTGACAAAATTTATTTTACTCTTTATTACATGAGCATCAACCTACTAAAGTACCCACTATGCACCAGCACAGTTGAAGGTAGAATGGCAATGGACCACCACGCGGGCCTAGTGCTGATTGGTGGGTGCTGACGATTGCAGATGCAACCGGGAGCAACGGCTTAAAAGGCTTTCGTACCGAACACCGAAGAAGCTCGATATGATAAGTTTTTGGTCATCCATCTAATGACCGCTCTTTGCGAAAGTTACTTAATTTCCACGATCGCAGACCGACCGCGCTAATTGTCTGCGACATCGAGCTCCTCAGCAGTTTTATAATATAAAATAGTATGGTAAGCAAATGCGAGCTAATCTCTAAAAGCGATCTCTTCCAGCCAACCTAGGTGGTGTCGGTGCTTAGAAGCTTAGAAGGATAACCTCCCGCTGGACCTGTTAACGCGGAAGAAGTCGCGGGCAAAAGCTATTTATTACAATCATGATATTAATACTGGGTGCTGCCTTGCAGAACACTTGAAATAATTCAACACAACTAACAAGATCCCAGTTGTATGATTGGTGGTACATTCGGCCGCTTAAGAGTATTTAAAGCGATGTAGGTAGTTAACTTTACCTGCAGCGCTTTAAATTTTACATGTTTTACTAGCCCGTAAACATGATTATCGAAAAATTTCTCGATAGATTTTGTCTTTACACATGTTCGATTTTTTACTTAAGAATCAAATATCTTAAAAACGTTAGATAACTTTTAAATAAATCTGAGTTTCTCCTTAGTGAAATTTCAATAGGTTTAGTATTTAGCTTATTTTCAATCAAATTATATTTGCGTGTCATTACTAATCATTCCGTAATTCATTCTTGTAAGCCCTAGCACGGACCATTATCGAATTCGAATAGTTTGCGAGTGCGAAATGTCAATGTCAAATTTTGTTCGCAAACTTAAACAGCAGCGCCACAAAATACGTAACGAGAACTAAAAATCAGTACTACCGGTATACTAATCAGTATACCTAAACTACCGCTACACACGGCGTATTAAGGTGCTTGTTCGATTTTAATTCAGTTAAGTAGGTATCACTTTAACCAGTGGCGGACTAAACCCGTCAGAGGCCCGGGGCGGCAAAGCAGAAAGGCCCCCTTTAACAAAAATTAGTTTCTTATGTTTATTTCGTTAAATCTGGCAAGTGAAATTTAATTTAGAATTAAATTATTTCGGCTAAATAAACATACATACCTACAATATTGAATGGATATGGGTGAGAAAATCAAATACGAATCGATCGACAAAAAAATACTAATATAAATCAAAGATAGTTTTTTTATTTTTGGTAGCGATATAAAACGCTGTTTTCGTGCCTTCAATTTACTGAACTCCTCATTAACTTCTGTGATATCGATTTCTTTGGATTTTTTTCTATTGAAAGCACGGCTAGATTAATACCTGTCGCTCATGATCCATTGTAGATCGAAGATAATTTTTAATTAGTTTAAGTTTCGAAAAACTCCTCTAGTATGGTGCAACCAAGATGCAAATAGTCAAGAAATATTGAAGTATAAGCAATTTAAAGAGTAACTATTCACTGAAGTCCCATTTTATTATTAATTGAAGGATTTCTTGGGCTCTCCAATGGGCAGCAACGTCCATACTCGTATCGGTGGCTTTTCCATGCCTGCGGTACTTTTTTATTTTTTGGGAAACTTGCTCCTTGTCAAATTCATCATTACTTTGTATCAGATTGTCAACTGCTACAGCCAGAGCATCATCTGAAGCTTCTAGCATAAGCTTTATTTCAATAATTTGGAAAATATTATTGATTTGTTTCATGGCCCCGTATTGTGTCGACATCTTCTATAAATCGATCTATGGATTTATACATTGACCGACGTATTTCTTCTGGAATTGATAATCCAGCATAATGAGCTCGATACTCGGCATCGTTCTTTTTACCTTCCTTCTTCCTCGTTTCTCGATGTTGATGTCCATGTCATTGCATTTTTTTATTACAAAAGTTACAACATTGTCTACAATGGTGGTTCGTTCGGTCACTAAATACTCATACAAGGCGTTTAATTTGGTGATTCCTATATCAAGAGTCATTTTTGGAGACTGCAAATATTGTTGAACTTATGTTAATTCTTCCAGTACAGAGATAGCCAGAATTGTATAATAGGTTAGAAAAGTAAAATCACAAACAGCCGGCAGGAGCAGGCTTGCTCCTGATGTTGTATCTAGATTTGCTTTTGTTGGATCTTGAAAATGTTTCAAACTACTTACAATTGTCTCTATGTTTTCTTTTACAACTTTTACTGACTCATAATGAGAGCTCCAGCGAGTATCCGATAAACGTTTTAGTTTTTTTCCAGTTTTCACTTTCAGCAATTGCCATCTCTCTGTAGATGACGAAAATAACGAATATAATTTCTCTACTGTTCCAAAACACGTGACGCTGGAAGGGACGCATACAAATGCATGAACTCCACAAAGATTCAAGGAATGATTAGAACAAGGACTGAACAGTGCATTTGGATTTACTTTTCGGATTTTTCGTTGCACCCCTCCATGGACACCTGACATTGACGCGGCATTGTGATAACCTGCACAACGCAATATTCAGTCCGTCTTTTTCCAGCTGTTGCTGAATGTCTTTTGACATATCCTCAGTAGTTTTTCCAGACATTAAAAATAAACCCAAGAAAGATTCTCTTACATCTCCACAATGTCATCCTCTATATGAAAGAATTTAATGATTTGACTTAAGAATTTAATTTTACTTTCATCAGGAGTGCTGTCAAAAATGATTCCGTAATATCTGCAATAATTATTTGCCTTACATGATCACCCAAACATTGAATAAATTCATTTGGTATTCCTTTTGGCAAATAAGATGGTACTCTCTTTGACCCACCAGCAGCCTCTTTTATATAGGCGTAAAAGAGTGAATTATTTGCACTTCATTCATTCAGGGATTCCTGAGTAAGTACCCGCTACAAAGACGGGAATTCCTCCATAACACATGGAGGACACATTCAGCAAAGGTAAAAGAATAATAGTACCGCGTAAAAAGTCTAGATGGCTGTAGTGTGTTGATCTTGATGAAATTATGTAGGTAAGCACATTTCTAAAGTCATGTTTAGGATTTGATCAGGGGAACTCGGAGGCATTTGGGGGCCCCCCAAGATCGGAGGCCCGGGGCGGGCCGCCCCTTCCGCCCCCCTGTTAGTCCGCCACTGACTTTAACTGAGGCGAGTTGCATTTTAAAATTATTCTCAATATATAACAATCCAGCAGTTAAATGTTACCATAAAAATAAACTTTACTTAACTTTTTATTATTATTTTTACCTACTAGGTACTTACTGAATAATTAATCCGCCTTCAATCCTACGAAGTCATCGCAAAATATTTTAAGTTAACTTCTTTCAATAACCTTTTCTGTTTTTCATGGATCAAAAAACAAGTAGCGAACTGCCAAATAACTGCGGTTGTATTAAATGGGTAGAATAGAGCACCAAAACTAATAAATAACATACAATATTTTTATGTGTAAGACAAATTAAAGAATTTCCAGTAATTTTTTGATCTGGTAGAGAGACGTTCATATCATAAGAATAATAAAGCAACAAGTTTGCTTATTTCACCTTTACCAAGGTAAAGCGAATTAGGTCAAAATTCAATGTCTCTACTATTGTGTGTCCTTGTTATTTAGCGTCGGAGGTGATTGTAGTCAGAGGGGGCCGTAAGAGGGAGAATTTGCAAAATTAAAACACGTGATGACTTAAAGTATTCAAATTAAATGTTATGTTTTGAATATTAGCACTGACGTAATAAGCCCTACCAATATATTCAAGGTGAGAATGTTGTTGTTTATTTACTACTAAATCATACAATGGAAAGGTCATAGGTACAGTTAATTTAAACATAAGGGCTCAAGTATGTGCATACGCCTGCATATGCTTAATCCAGACATCAAATACCTGGATTAAGTAAGGCTCAGAATAATTATGTTGAATGATGAAGTTGAATGTCTTAATCAATGATAGGTTATTCTGTGATGTGTCTTTTTTTTATATTTTTGTTAAAATGACCATATCTAATCCAGTAGGTATGAATAATGTGACATGTTCCAAAACATATATTAGATATTAAATTAAATACTTTTATTTTACATCAACAACATTGACCAGAGGCCAAATCTAACATGACAACTTATTGTCTTAAAGTAGGTAAGAGCATTGTTACTGTTGCAATTGGACTGCATTCGCATATTAGTGCGAGTAAGCGCTGCAGCACCATTTTAAAATGAAAAATAGCCTAAGTACTCTACTACCACCTGCTCACCATTGAGGTAGCTAGCTAGCGTTTTTCCTAGTAGCCGTCCTATTGACGTATCATTCATTGTGAAATTTGCAATGATGTTTTTCAACACTCGAATTTGAGGGTGGACTGAGAGCTTTGTAGGCTGGGCAATGGTCACCATTGGACCCCCCCCCCCCCCCCCGTTTACGCACGCCCATTCTGCTCACTGTCACTCACCATAGTTATAATTCCTGATAGAATCAGCACAGCAAACGCTACAAGCGGCCACGCTATGCTCAGCCCTTTCTCGACGGCCACCACATAGATTTGTTCAATCACAGCCGCCGAACCCGTTTCCATGTTGCCACTGCCACCAATACTGAACCAGAATATCAAACCCACCCAATTAACCACGATACTCGTGCCGATCAATGCTATTGCTGTCCTGAAAATAAAATTATTTCGTTAGAAGGTAGGTACTCTAACTTTATTAGCGTCTCTATTTTTTTATTTTTACTACAGTGCTCCTCATCTATCTTACATTTAATTATTAGTTTAAACCTATTCCGAGTGCTATACCGAGTCATATACCGAGTCATTCATACAAGTGACTAGTGAAATAACTACGGAATAAAGGATTATGGATCATAATACAATTTAGCCACAGTACCAAATATGTCCATAATTTTAGCATGGACAGGCATAGCATTACGCATAAACAGCTTAACCGGTTTTTAATAATTTAGTGTGAATATTTATCAGGTGAGTTTGATTGAATTCGAAATTCAAAAATTGAATTCAGGAGAATATGTAAAAATAAACCTAATGAGTCCAAACTCGATATGTTTATTAGAAGGCAATCCAAGGTTCCATCATCAGACCACCTCGGTGGTACCATAATATTATATTGTCATCTAATCTACATATATTTGCCAAATTTAAAGTAAATCTGATCGCTTAAAGTTGGGCAAAATCGAGTCCAAAGGAGTCAGTTACATACAAACAAACATACAGGTGAAACTAATAAAAGCGTGTTAAAAACAGATAACAACGGGATAACAGAGTCACATAGCGTTGCCCGTAAAAACATCTTCCACTACCTCTACATTCATTCGTCTTTTTCTTACATTACACGCCTGCCGCTTTGTGTGCCTTTTGATATTACCCACTTATTCTATGCCGACGTAGTCGAGGCTCAGCTACTAATCTTTTAATTAAAATGTGACCTATATTTACCAACGGACGTCATTGTTGGAATAGATAGAATCGCCAGCTGATATGAGGTATCCACCGGCTACCTCGGAGGTCAACAGGGCTTGAGTTATGGCCCCGAACCAAATGTGTGGTTGTAGGAAGTTGCGCCAATCTTCCTCCTTCACCATCCATTGGATTGGTCCGTTGTCAGCCATTCCTGACACCGTGACTATACTCAAGATCACGACCAGCGGCCCAAACAAATAGAAAACCCGCTTCATTAACTTCACAGGACTGTAAAGACTGAAAAATATTTGTGTTTACTTAGACTAAAATTTATATAGGTACATTTTTTGTAGAAATTGCAATTTAATATTAAACTTACAGGAAGGGCAGGCAAATCCAAGTGAAGAAGATAATTAAACACAGAGCGATGTAATACTCTGGATTTTCATTTACGGGAGACATAAAAGTTAGGCTGAAACAAATTGTAGTATCAAATAAAGAGTTCGGTAATTTTAGAGTATTTGGTTAATAAAACTAAATTTTTGAATATACTCACTCGAGACAACTAGCTGAATTGCTTCCGTTTAAATAGTCATTCTGAAATCAGTAGAATTTGTACATTTATTATTACCTTATTATTACAAATTCATACAAACTTGATACTAAGATAATGGAATGTATGATACTTACCTCTGTTACGGCAATGTAGGGGCATTCAATAAAAGGGATGGAATATCTAATTGTATAAAGAAAATATGATGCGGAGAGCGCCAAGTAAATCGAAGTATAGATGGAACCAAAAAATGATACCAGCAACCTCAAATAGCCGACACCTAAAACATTCATAATTCTATCACTATATACTTTCCTATTTACAGTTTTAATTATCTAAAACGCTTAAAATTAAATACTGAGAAAACGAAGTCTTATCATATTACCATAACTTCTAATAATTACCTACCCACAAGATCTACTAAATCACAGTGTTAAAAGCTTTATCTTAAATTGTAGGTATAGTTTCACCTTTGAATATTGGAACAGCACGCCATAATCCGACAGCATCCTGCTGGCTAAGCTGGCCAACTGCTAATTGCAGCAGCACCAGCGGCAAAGCGACTACCAGCAGCGCGAGTGTCAGTGCCAGCGCATACTGCAGCCCGCCGTAGCGTGCTGCTTCGCGCGGAACCCGTAACGTACTGTTGAAGCTCAGCGTCACCGCAAGTGTGCACAAGTGCACTCGAATGAGCGGCCAGTCCAACCAATCCTTATTGTAATAGATTAAAGCAGATTAGGAAAAACATTGGATCAAACATCTATTAGGATATATTATAACTACGAGCAGCGCCAGCGGCAAAGCGACTACCAGCAGCGCGACTATCAGTGCCAGCTCATACTGCAGGCCGCCTTAGTGCGCTGCTTCGCGCGGAACCCGTAACGTACTGTAGAAGCTCAACGTGACCGCCAGCTTGAACGAGTGCGCTTGAATGAACGGCCAATCCAACCAATCCTTTTTTGTAAAAGACAAGGGCATATTTTGTAAAATTAAGAATCAGACATCTTTTAGGATATATTTCAACCGCAAGCTGCAGCAATGCTAGGCAGACCGACTACCAACAGCGCGACTGTCACCCTGTCAGTGCCAGTGCCAGTGCATACTGCAGCTCGCCGTAACCGCTAACGTGCTCAAGTGCGTTCGAATGAGGGCCAGCCGAAACATTTCTTTTTTTTTTAAATAATTAACTAGTTGTTCTTGTAATAGTGAATCTTTTTTATACATATGAAGTATTTTTCATATTTTATCGAAGCAGAAAATAATCTTTATATATATAATTCTTCTGTGAGTGTGTATGTCACTGAACTTCTCTTAAACGACTGGACCGATTTTGATGAAATTTTCGTGTGTGTTCAAGGGGATCTGAGAATGGTTTAGATTCACAATTTTGTCCGCTGGACAATGTTTTTTTAATTAATTTTTAATTTATTAGTAGTTGTTGATTTTGGAATGTTTTACATTGGATCCGACAGACGGCGCTACCATACTAGACAGGACAACGTCTGTCGGGTCCGCTAGTATATATATATAAATATACAGTCAGGTCATAAGTATTGTCACACAGTAAAAACTTTTCTTTTAGAATGCTGGCCAGTAAAAAGTTTATTGAATTCGACTTTCGAATTGTTCATGAAAATAAAAATGTATAGGTATTTTTTCGAATTCTACTCATTTTTAAATATGGAGTGGACGCTTAAAGAATACCGTGTTGCAGTTATTGCGTTCCATCATTGCGGTTAATTTGAATATAACCAAAAGATTCGTTTATCGTACCATCAAACGATACAATGAAGACTCTAGTGTAGATGACAGGTCAAGAAGTGGTCGCCCTCGGTCTGTTAGGACTCCAGCAGTGCTAAAAGCTGTGAAGGCGCGAAATCAATGAAATCCCAAACGTAAGCAGAAACTGTTGGCCCTTCAGATGGGGTTAAGCAGAACCACGGTGAAATAGGTGTTAAATGAAGACTTAGCGCTTCGGGCATATCGAAGAAAAACAGGACATCGTTTGAATGCTCGTCTCTTCGTCGCGCGCCATCTCTTCAGTCTCAGATCAATGGATCTGAGACTGAAGAGATGGCGCGCTTTGTTGAAGCGGTACGCGGGAAAAAAATATCGGGAAATTCTTTTTTCGGATGAAAAAATATTTACCGTAGAAGAGAGCTACAACAAACAAAATGATAAGGTGTACGCACACAGTAGTGAAGAAGCGAGCAACCGTATTCCGCGTGTCCAACGAGGTTATTTTCTATCCTCGCTCATGGTATGGTTGGGAGTTTCTTATTGGGGCTTAACAGAGGTACATTTTTGTGAGAAAGGTGTAAAAACGAATGCAGTTGTGTATTAAAATACAGTCCTGACGAACCTTGTGGAACCTGTTTCTCATACCATGTTCAATAACAGGCACTGGGTATTCCAACAAGATTCGGCGCCAGCTCATAGAGCGAAGAGCACACAAGACTGGCTGGCGGGCGGTGAAATCGACTTCATCCGGCACGAAGACTGGCCCTCCTCCAGTCCAGATTTGAGTCCGATTAGATTACAAGATATGGCAACATTTGGAGGAAAAACGTGCTCAAAGCCTCGTCTCAATTTGGAGTCACGCAAGACATTCTTGATTAAGGCAGCCGCCGATATTGACATGGACCTCGTTCGTGCTGCGATAGACGACTGACCGCGCAGATTGAAGGCCTGTATTCTAAGACACGGAGGTCAGTTTGAATAAACTTTATTGTCATAAGAATCTATGTTTTGTTAATTTCATTTTGGTATATAAATGGTTACATAATGAATAAACTTGTTTCAATTATTTAATATTAAACATGTGACAGAATTTATGACCTGACTAGGTACCTATATATTATTTATCGCTTAAAAGTACCAGGAGACTAAACATAGCTAAGAGGTTCTGATTATGAAACAGTGAAAGCAATCTGATTCAGAACTAGTTATTAAAAAAAAGATAAATTAAAGAAATCAGAAAACCCGACTGCTAAAATAATACTTGAAATATAAACTGAAAATAAAAAAAAAAATTGAAATTTTTTATCTATACTTGAATATTTAATGGGTCCCGACTGTTATAGTAGCTTTGTTCCTTACTTAACAGAATTACTTTAAGTTTTCTTTAGATTTATAAATCGAGCAGATTAATCAACGATATTGGGATTAATGCTTGAAAATATAATAATAAATAATGTAGCCACCTTATGATGAATGAATTTTCGAAATCGGTTCAGTAGTTTGACAGATTATTTTTGTTACAAACATACAACTCTTGCCTCTTTATAATATTAAGTATAGATAGTTAGGATAATAATCACTACATAGTATAAAACAAAGTCGCTTTCTCTGTCCCTATGTCCCTTTGTATGCTTAAATCTTTGAAACTACGCAACGGATTTTGATGCGGTTTTTTTAATAGATAGAGTGATTCAAGAGGAAGTTTTATATGTATAATACATGCATAATATAGTAGAGAAACACTGATAATTTTAGAGGTTTTTAATATAAGGTCGTAAATAAACATTTTTTTACGCTTACATTGCAAACGCTGGCTGAACCCAACGAGATAGATCAAAATAATGTACTACAGTATTGTACACCTTAAAAAGGTCTACAAAAAAGTCCGCGATGGTATATGCCTATCTCTTTGGTATTACACACAATAACCATTTTTTAATTACTTATTACGAGAAAATAATGGCTTATTTACGAACAAGCGATTTTAAGCAATACAGCATTAATCCTTATCCAATTAAGTACCTTAAATACATTGTGCGTGTAATATAGATCAATATAACCCTCTACAGCATGTAATTTAAATGAATATTTTCGAAGATATTACAGATTTAAAATGCAGGAACATACCGGTTCGGGCAGTACTGAGGTATTTAAAGAAAGTCATTGTGTTTAATAGAAACCTGAGAACAAAAATATAATCTAAACTACAGCTCTACACCGAAGCGAAGCGAGGGCGGGCCACTAGTAATATATAATTGATGAAAATGATTTAAAAATAAAGTAATAGGTTTATTTGATTAAATTTGTAATAATGATTTAGCATTTTTGGTAAACAGGGATTCGTTATTCGGTAATTTATACATACTTATTCTTATATATAACTTATATATTATAAACTTTGCTTTGGTGATTGCATAATTATTTAATTTAGCGATCTAAGGCAGTTGCCACCAGTGTCCAAAACAACAGACGGGAATTGTTGCTTTCGTCAACCAGTGACATTAACGTCATTGATTGGTATTGTATAGCGGGTGATCAACAACATTTGAAGTTAACCTCTAGCGTCTACATATTTGGTTTCTGTGAATTATGTAGGTATATCAAATTTAGGATATGACACTGTATTTGTGTATATCATAATCTTAGAGCCGGCCGTTGACATTACAGTGCAGCCACTGCCAATTTTAGATAGTCGACGAATAAAAGTAAATGAATTTCAATTTATTTCTAAACAACTAAATAGAACATAAGCAAAAGATGACTTGTTGAATCAGTAATAGTTAACTATAAAATTTTCATTCATAAGATGTATAGGTAACGACTTGATTTAACTTAACACATTTTTGCGAAAATTGAGGCCTATCTATAGCCTTGACCCTACTGGTAAGTACTCTATGGCTTATTTAATCAATCGTATAGACCACCGCAAGGTACTTAATAATACCCGCGATATTAATTTACTTACTGAAGTGACAAGACTGCGGTATATGCCGTCTTATAATCCTAACTAAAAAGTGTGAAATAAAAAGGTAATTTTTAAAAATCAAAAAACCCGACTGCTGAAATATTACTTGAAATAAAAACTGAAAATAAAAAAACCCATTATTGAAAATTTTTATCTATACTTGAATATTTAATGGGTCCCGACTGTTAAAGTAGCTTTGTTCCTTACTTAACAGAATTATAGACTACCTACTGGACTTGTTTTTTTATTTTCAGTTTTTATTTCAAGTAATATTTTAGCAGTCGGGTTTTTTGATTTTTAAAAATTATCTTTTTTATTTCACACTTTTTAGTTAGGATTATAAGACGGCATATACCGCAGTCTTGTCACTTCAGTGAGTAAATTAATATCGCGGGTATTATTAAGTACCTTGCGGTGGTCTATACGATTGATTAATTAAGCCATAGAGTACTTACCAGTAGGGTCAAGGCTATAGATAGGCCTCAATTTTCGCAAAAATGTGTTAAGTTAAATCAAGTCGTTACCTATACATCTAATGAATGTAAATTTTATAGTTAACTATTACTGATTCAACAAGTCATCTTTTGCTTATGTTCTATTTAGTTGTTTAGAAATAAATGGAAATTCATTTACTTTTATTCGTCGACTATCTAAAATTGGCAGTGGCTGCACTGTAATGTCAACGTCCGGCTCTAAGATTATGATATACACAAATACAGTGTCATATCCTAAATTTGATATACCTACATAATTCACAGAAACCAAATATGTAGACGCTAGAGGTTAACTTCAAATGTTGTTGATCATCCTCTATACAATACCAATCAATGACGTTAATGTCACTGGTTGACGAAAGCAACAATTCCCGTCTGTTGTTTTGGACACTGGTGGCAACTGCCTTAGATCGCTAAATTAAATAATTATGCAATCACCAAAGCAAAGTTTATAATATATAAGTTATATATAAGAATAAGTATG